GTGTAAAAATTTTCGTTGGAAAACATTAACGTTTGGTGGGTCAAATGAATTTTTCTCCTAGAAGTGGCAATCTGGAAATCTGTTCCGTATTGCACTGTCCAGCGTTGGCATTTTGGCTATAACTCTGTCCTCGGATGTCGAAATCATGTGCCGTCGGTGGCGTTTGAAACTAGACATTCCTAGCTTTAATTTGGTATAAAATTTACGTTCTGATTCCTTGTGAGCAAGCCGAACCAAATGTTTTAAGTTCGCTGTCCTGTTGCTCTGTTCGTCTGGAATGAAGTGTTCAGGCAGCAACTTGATGCCCGAATTTGAACCAGATGGGTGCCGAATTTGGGAATGACTTCTTCTGTGATGTTTTAGTACTATGAATGTATTTTCCAACGGCATAAGCCATGCTCAATTTCGAGCTATATTGACTGAGTTGTGACTGAAACAAGTGGACTGCTCTGTTTTGGAAAACCCTAATGTTGGGACTGGTTTGGAACCAAATCTTGGAATGAACTTGTTAGTTGATGTTTTTGATATTAAACACTTACCAAAGATATTATGGGTGTATCTTAGACCCTTATTTCACAAATGAACCATGGTTGGATAACTTTCTTGGTTAGACGATTGGAAATTTGGAAAATGAAAGTCAAAGGCAGATTGCCTTATAATTTTCCTGAACTTTGGTTGACTAATTAACTATCTTACCGAAAGTATTTTTCCCTGAAGTTTGATAGAGTGGTACCTTTCATATGGGAGTAAAATACTGCCAATTTTGGTACCAATCCAAGTTCGTTTCGATACCGAATTAAATTTCTAGTGTTGGAGGTTCAAAACTGGAAATTCTTCTTCAGTCTTGAATCTTCCTCAACTTGGGGCTACTATATCTTGGTGCTCGAAACTCCATTTCTCAATCCGCTTGTATTGTTATACTCTTGGATTGTAACACTATTTGATTTCCAAATTTCAAAGGTTAGTTCAAAACAAGTGAATTTTACTGAATTTCCAAAATTGGCCAAAAACCAACCTTGAAACTGTCTTAGTATTCTACAGCTGTAACTTTGATCCAACTTTTGAATACCTTCCATTTGGAATCATGGGAAAGTGTCTTCTAGAAACTTGTAGTACTCGGAATGTAGTTTCCAATGGTATCAAGCTTTCCAATTTTGGACCTACGTAGTGCAAGATACGATTTTTCTAGAATTGACACCCAAAGCTAAAATTTGACAATTTCTTAGAAATGAGATTTTGGAAACTTGCCTTCTTTTCTCGATACCGATTGAACATTTTTAACTCGATTTCATGAAAAATGTTAGTCTCTTTCTTTAGACTTTAAAACTTTACTCTTGAGCCTCGATTATTAATAATTAAGGCCCAATTCATGAATTCCCTTTAGATTGTACAACCTTCTTTGATAAGTAGGAGTTCTAAGTGATAGTGTATAATAGTTAATGGTTGTTTACTCAGGCACTCGAGGGAATCTCCAAGGGGAACTCGGAGCGGACACCTAAAACGCTTGTTTGAAAACTACTCGCTTGTTTTGACTAGGTGAGTGTTCCATATAGGAATACGTAATTGAATAAGTCTAGGACACGCTTATTTCATGATTATTAAGTGCTATGTGTTAAGTATTTACCATACTCATGCCTATTTAAGGAATGTATACTTGCATTGTATATCTACATGAATTGGTTAAATCATTAACCATATCAAATGACCATATGAACTCGATACATGCTTAACTTGCTAGATTGTTTACTTAGTCTATTTGGTTTTGAAAAATGGAGTCGAGTGTGTACTTTATCGCACTCGTTCTCTTTTGAGATGAATAATTCACGCTTGAAAATACTCGAATAACATGACTTGGTATGCTAAGGTTGCATACGTCGTTGGAGTGAATCTCCTCGACTCTCACGTGGTAAAAATGGGATAACGGCCAATGATGGCCTATGCATATGACCAATGCTTGTCAATTAACCGTCAACCGTGAACAGTTAACCGTTAACCATGACCGTTTACCAACCCACATGACTACCTGATTACCTGACTATTTGCTCATATGATTTCTAATCTATATGATTATTCGATATCCGTGAATTATATGCTCCCATGAAATCAACTTGTATTGCTTACGTGCTTACGTGCTAAGTATCCACTTGATCACTTGATTATCATGAATCACATGTTATATGAAGTTGTCCATCATTGTTAGGCGAGTGTGTACTTTATCTCACTCGACCTACTCAAATGATGAATTTTACCTTTTGTCGAATTACTTGATTACTTGTGCATGTTGTAAGCTCTAAGCTGAACTTGGGCCCTGCCTCGGTTACTGACCTACTCGAGCCAGGACTGGGCTCGGTCGGGTAGGTTGGAACCCTGGACAACCGTTTCGGTATACTCGAGTATTACCACTGGAGGGATAAGGTGATGGCCAGTCAAACCGAGGGGATCCGGAAGTCATAAGGTGCAGATGACCGACAGAGTTCCACTGGAACACCGTATCCTTCAATGTGTGTTTATTTTACATAATGATAACCGTTTTATGAAAACGTGCCATACCTATGATATGCTCAAATTACCTGTACAATGATTATTGCCTCATGATAACATGCCATTGTGTAACCTTGAACCATGTGTATGATATGCCCAACTTATTTGATTTATTTGAACTGTTAGAGTGTCTTAGAACCTCACTGGGTTGTGTAGCTCATACCACGTTGTGGATTTCTTTTACAGGGTTCGAGACCAAGGGTGCTCGTGAGTAGTACTAGATTGTTTTCTTTTGAAGACTTTAAGTTATATTATAACGGATGGCTATAGTACCCCTTTTCCATTGGGTTGTATTTAAGCTTGAAAGCTGCATAATTGTAAGTGTGAGATATTCAAAGTACTTTAATTATGTATTGAGGTTACTTAAAGTATTTCGAGCTTTTGAATGATCGATTGTAGTGAGTCCCGGCGAGAGCTGGGCAGGCGTCCCGCGGATACCCTTTGGTTCGCCTTAGGGAGAAGTGGGGGCGTCACAGCTTCCATTTGGCTACGGCTTCCACTTTCGCCGGGTCTACAGCAAGCCCATCTTTTGAAATTATATGACCTAAGAATGCCACTTTTTCCAGCCAAAATTCACACTTGCTGAACTTAGCGAACAATTGGTGCTCTCTTAGGGTTTGCAGTACTATTCGCAAGTGTTGCTCATGCTGCTCCCTAGACTTTGAATATACTAGGATATCATCAATAAACACCACTACAAACCTATCCAAGTAAGGTTTAAACACTCGATGCATTAAATCCATGAACGCTGCTGGGGCATTGGTTAAGCCAAAAGGCATTACCGCAAAGTCAAAATGCCCATATCGAGTGTTAAACGCCGTTTTTGGCACATCCTCCTTTCTGATTCTCAACTGATAGTACCCTTGTCGCAAATCCAATTTAGAAAACACCACCACTACAAGAAATTTGGTCATTAGTGACAACATTTCTCAGTGATGAAAAAAAATCGTCACAGAATGGTGTCCTTTAACCACAATACAGCAAGTTGTCACAATTGAGTCAAGGGAGCCAACACATCAGTGACGACCTTGCATTGTTGTCACAATTCGATTCCCGCCAAGAGTCATGGAGAGAGCAGGAACTGCAATAGTGACGACTTTCTAAAAGTTGTCAGTATTAATAGCACTTTCTTTGACAACTTTGCAATTCTTGTCACTGATAACATTGTATAGCCTTTAGTGACAACCTAGTCTTGTCACTGTTTGATTTAAAATATTTATTACTTTTTACAACTATTACTCCTAATTTTTTGTAATTATTATGTGTTCTCTAATGATTTTTGATTGTTATATACTTATGAGCCTCCTTATTTGTTTAATTTTCTTGTATATGTAATAACTTCATTAGAATAAAAATAATTAAAAAATAAAAAATTCATTAATGTAAATAAACTTGTGACTACTTAACTTAGAATGATTATTAGTTAATATGATATGAATATAAATAAGAGTTTTCAAATGGAACTAGTTATCGAAGTGGATAAATCTTAAACTCCATAGTTAATTAACTAGTACACATTATGTATTAGTTTAATTGTGCATTTTTTTTTCTTATTTGAAGATAATGGATTAATAGTGAAGTTTTGTATTGGATGTTAATTGAATGGCCGCTATTTAAAATGTGCTTTGTTAATTGAATATGCTCTATTTAAAATCTACTAAAAATTAATGGCAACCTAGGTTTGTTTTGCAAATTAGTAGTACAATAACTTCAAACAAAATCAACCGATAACATACATGGCTTATCAGTATAAAATAACTAAAGAGTTCATTTACAATAACTGACTTTAAAAAACACTATATACAAACCAATAGACACAAATATATGGGAACTCCTAAAAATTAGGGGTGAACCATCTTTTAGTTTATGCGGGTCATATAAGTCAAATGTTATTTAAAGTAGAATTTTCCATAACTAAAGACCTATGGTACTACTAGACTAAATTAAAAGAATGAAAGAGATTTAAGATATAATAATTTAGTTTTGCAATTTTGAGGAAGTGATATAAAGTTTTAACACCTGTATGAATTATTTGAAGTTATTCAACAAAAAAATATTTGAAGTTATTACCAAAAAAATTGAACTATTTGATGTTGAACAAAAGTACATTTACCACTTGTATTAATTTAACAAAAACTTGACTCCCATTATGAAATTTTTTGACAAAAATGTTAAAAGGTAGCAATTAATAATGTATTAGTAAAATTATACTTCAACTAAAAAAACTTGATTGAAATTTTGAGGAACTCAGTGAACCGATATTTCACTGAAACTAAATAAACAAAGTATGTGAAAAATATATGGTGCGGGTCAAATGTGAAAAACAAACATTTTGTAACCCAATAGAAGAGCTCTCTGCTTTACTCTCCGTTGGTCTCCCCTCTGTCACTTTACACCCTCAACAGAAACTATTAACAAAAAACAATTCTCCTTTCTCATCTCCATAGATCGATCATGAATTTGTGATGTTGAACAGAAGAAGTACTCCACCAACTCTTTGCAAGAAAAGGTATCTCATGTCTCTCCTTCTTCTCCCCGATTTTTCCCCAATTTTTTTTGCCCTAATTATTTTTTTGCCAAAAATTTGTGCCCAATTTTTTTGGATAATTTTGACTTACGGGTGAAATCATCTCCACTAGAATTATTTTAGTTGTGAATACTATTACTTCATTCTTTTTTATTGTACAAGATAAAGGTTTCAGTGGGGTTGGTGGTGGATACGGGTTTGAGGTTGAGTTTGGGGACGAAGGTGATTATGATGTAGAGGGGTTTGTTTCTTGGAATGGGATGGAAAACGGGGACAAGAAGATGGGAATAAAATGAAGGGGGGAATTACAAGGGTGTGCGTAGGATAAAACAGGGAGCCCCCGACAAAGATTTTAGCAGTACGGACCAGACATCTCATTACTGGCACCCCCTTAATACCCTCTCACTCAAACCCATAAAGAATACCCATTTCCTGGTCACACTCCCTCTAGATTTAAGGGTTCCTTTGTTCTCTAGCTTCATCAGATTTGGGTCTAGGGAAACTTTCGGAATGTAAATATTCCTTAAATTATGGCAAGAGAATAATTTTATTGTAGTATAATCACTTTTGTATTCTTCCTGTCCGGCTTGCCGTTTGTTTGTTGAATGGGTTGGTACTTGTTAGCAGTTAGCAGCACTTGGGTTTTTGAAGAATTATATGATTCTTAAGATCGGTAGAAAATTCATTAATGTAAACCTCTCAATGTTAATGTTTACGTCTTTATGCGACGACAGGATAGTGATAGACTATGGGAATGAAACCTATACTCATGTCTGTCATTTGCTTTTAGTGTCTGCTTTGTGTTTACTGGGATGAAAATGAATGGATTTACAAACAGTTTTTCTTTTTCATTTTTGTCTTTTAAAGTACTCTCCTGAAGCAGCCTTCATTTATTTAAAACACCCTTTTTAAGTTTTAACACAAAATTACTACTCTTCCAATTTCTAATTATAAACAATATTATATGAGTTCACTTCTTCTTCATGCGGTTTTAAACAAAAAAAAAAATGAAACAAGAGCTGGCCAATCGCATCTTGGCAAATTTAGTGATTCGTTAAGTTAGGTAAATATCCAAAAAACGCTTTACCATGACCAGTTGAAAGTGAAACTTTGTGAACTGTTGGATTCTTGTACGCTTTACATCCTAATTAGCTATAGTAGTAGGAGTGGAAAAGATTTAAGAGGTGATTATGATGTAGATATGTCTATGAGTGGTTGCAAGTGAGAAAAATAGTGGGTTAAGTGGTGTTGGGTGGAGAGGGAATTGGGAAATCACAAGGTTTAGAGGAATTTTTTCGGATGTAAAAAATTCCCCTCTTTTCTTTTTTTGTGTTGAAATTTGGTAAATTGTCATGGGAATTTCAAGAGAAAATCTCATCTCCATTTTCTACACCATCACCAACGTTATGTCCATTCAGTACTCCATCCAATAGAGATCAAGTTTTGGTACATGAATGAAATAATTTTTTATTTTTTATGTTTTTTAATAGTTCTTCAGTTTTGGAAGTGAAGTTCTGATTTCTTTAAATTGCAAGAGAAAAGTTATATTGCCTTTTTTAAAGTTAGGTAAGTTACATTTGAACTCCCAATGTGCAACTAATGAAGTCAATAAAAGGTTCATGGCTGACTGTAATGCTAATTCTAGAGGCTTGCTTATGAACAACTTTTGGTTGCTGAAGTGGAGCATAATTCAAATATAATACAAAAGCCGCATGGGAAATTTGTATATATTGCACATCTTTTGCATTGGGAGTCGTAATTTTCTCAAGTTTTGTGGTTAGTTAAGGAGTATGGACTTTGTGATACTACTTTTAATTGCCTTGTATAGCTAACTATGTTACAAGCAGGTGTTTTTAGTTTTTGTGAGGAAATCATGATATTCAGATTATGGTATAAGCTGAAGACAACATTTTCCTTGCCAAAGGTATACATCAAGCTTGATTTTCATTGTCCGAATTCTGGAGTTTATCTTGAATAAGTAGTTCTTTCCTACCATTTTTTTTCATATTTGGTGATGGACTACCTGAATGAATATGCAAGTTTTGACGATTATGTAGTGTTCTTGGAATGTGTAGTTGTAACGTTATTAGGTACAAGTATAGATTAGTATCAAAATTGAAAGAAGGAAACATATGTTTTATATGCAAACATTTTCTTATGAGAACTACAACTACCATTTTATTCATTGTCTTTGAGCTTATAATGCACAGTATCATTTCATAGCGACTTCATTGGTTTGTTATTGTCTTGCAGCTTATTATGCTGATGCTATTGGTCCTTGCTATGGAATTTCCAAATATTGTGATGTTTTTTGGGTAAGTATATACTCCTTTCTATCTATGTTAGACTTGTTTCAAATGGTTGGGTCTTGACAACAAAGTTTCTGTAAAAGTGACAATTGTCACTTTGTTCTAGGAGACATTTGCATATAAACAAGCTACAAGTGGTCTCTAAGCTAACTAGTAGAAAAGAAATTTCATAATCTAGTATTTGATGACATCTTATGCAAACTTTTCTTGATAACTACTTACTTTTATGCTATTTAAGCTACTAGCATGTGATATTTGCTATTAGAACTTCTGAAAATTGAAAGTAGGTTGGTCAGTGAATGTACTGGTTCGCCTCATAGTCAGAAGCTTCGATTTATAGTGGAGCATCTTTTCCATTTTTTACACAGTTTCACCAAAATATTAGATGCATCATTTTATTATTAAAATCATTAAAATATTACCAATGGGCGCTAAGAATCTCTAGATATGTCGAATTTTATTTGTCATCAAAATTTGGTCTAGCGATAAACAATATGCATTTTCAATACCTGAAAAGTTGAAGTTGCTATGCATAATCTATAGAATGAACCATACAAATGGAGCCTATGAAGCCATAGAAGGAACACTGTTTGGTTCTTAATATGGTAGCATAAGCATATTAATTGTTTTGTGAGTTCTTAATAACGTAGTAAAAGTAGAAGAAGTGTTTCTTGAGCTCTAATGTTCTAAGTGTTTATCTCTTACTTTACCCTTATTTAGTCATTGTCTAGATTATACTTAAAAGGAATGATTTAGCTTATTTTCTTGCAAATTCTTTAGTTATCTTTATTGTTTCAAGTTTTTCTTATGACCTACTAATAATTGCAGTACTTCATTGCAGATATGTTGCTCATTTTAGCTTTTTGGAAGATCAGCAGCAGGAGTTGCCAATTCACTCAAGGACGATAAAGAAAATCTTATACTTAGGAAATGTCATGACAACACTTTTTTTTTTTTGGAACTTGGATTTGTTTTGTAAAGCTACCTCGACTTATATGTGAAATTTAGGCCAAATACCACTTATCAAACCATTTGTAGGGTGTTGTTGAACTTCATTATGATATTTGAATGCTTGATATGATATTTTGCCATATCGTAATGCAATGGATGTGTTCATTTGCTAATTGTCAAGCATTGTCATTTTTTTCATTTATAGATATAATTGTAGTAGGAAAATCTGACAAATTTCATGGTGATAAAGTGTTATCACTGAATCAGAATTTTCCATTAATAACAACCTGTTGTCATAGAATTAAAAAGTGTTTAGTGACAACAAAAGTTGTCAGTAATTAGTCTATACCAATGACAATTACGGACCACTTTTAGTGACAACATTGCTTTGTATATCATTGACAAGATACTATATCATCACTAAAATTACAACAATTACTGACGACACATGTTGTCACAAAACAGTCCCATTCACTGACGACTTTTATTGTCGTCACTATGTACTTTTACCGACGGGCCTTCAGTGACGACCCTGTGACAATTAGAAAGTTGTCAATAAAAGTCATCAATGACGACTTTTTATTTTTTTGTGACAAAAATAGCCTGTCACTGAAGACCAATTTTCTTGTAGTGCACCACCCCATGTAACTGATCAAACAATTCATCGATGTGGGGCAAAGGATATTTATTCTTAACAATTACTGCATTCAGTCCTCGATAATCAATACATAACCTTAAACTCCCGTCCTTCTTTTTAACAAATAGCACCGGAGCTCCCCATGGTGACTCACTCTCATGTATAAACCCCCGTTCTAGCAAGTTCTGCAATTGCACCTTTAACTCCTTAAGCTCAGCAGGTGCCATTCGATAAGGGGTTTTAGAGATGGGAGTAGTTCCGGGTACTAGATCAACCTTAAAATGCAATCTCCCTTTCAGGTGGTAATGACCCCAACTCCTCCGGAAATACGTCCGGATACTCTCGGATTACCGGCATGTCCTCCAACTTAATCTTTTCTCCCGGAGTGTTAATTAGAAAAGCTAGATAACCGCGTGCCCCACGACTAAGCAATTTCCTAGCCCTTATTCCTGAAATGAGCACAGATGAGGCTAACATACCCCTCACATCTAACTTCAAAGTTGCCTCACCCGGTATGCAAAACTCTACCACTTTCATCCTACAATCTACTCGAGCATGGTAATGAGCTAGCCAATCCATACGTAGAATGACATCGTACCCCTTAATGGCTAGACTAATGAGGTCAACTACTAATTTCCGTTCGCCAACCCAAATATCACAATTTCTCTACACCTCATTTGCAAGTAAAATTTGATTACCCGTAGGTGTTCTTACTTCTAAGTCATAAGGTAGATTTTCAATTTTCATGTCAATTCCAAGCATAAATGTAGGGTTAACAAAAGAATGAGTGGCACCGGGATCTATCAAAATTTTGGCTAACCGGTGAAAAACAGGAATCGTACCTTCCACTACCTCCGTTGGTTCAGGCATGGATTGTTAGTCCAGCGAATACACTCTAGCCGGTACCCTCGACCTGGTCCCTCCAACATTGGTCGGCTTTGGGTTTGACCTGGCAGTCGACTGAGTATTACTGATCAACGGGCAGTTGACTATTTGGTGCTCCGTACTTTCACACCTTAGGCACTTCCGAGCCTTTCTCCAACATTCATCCTCTGTATGGTTCAGTTTTCCACAGTATCCGCATGTTACTCGGGGAGTGGAGGTTTGGCCTCCCTGTGGAATACCTCTACCTTGTCCCCTACCACTTTGGCCTCCCCTCTGGGCACCTCCTCTCGGAGCACCTCCTCTAGATGCACTCGAAAACTGTCCACCTCCAGCCCCACGACCGGATTTAGCAGGTGACGTGTTCCGATCACTCCGCACTGACCCTTGGGCTCCACTAGGTACCCCTTTCCGTTTTGCGTGAAAATTCCTCACTTGCGCCCTAGCAGTCTCTATCCTTTGGACTTTTTCCAACACCTCCGTAAACGTATTAATTTGGGCTGCCGCCAAGGCCTCCTGTATCTCCACATTGAACCCTTGCACGAATCTCCGTACTCTTTCTTTGCTCCGTAGCAATCAGTTCAGGAGCAAATTTTGATAATTTCGTAAACTGAGTCTCATACTCAGCTACACTAGAAGTTCCCTGCCGGAGCTTAATAAAATCGTCCTCTCTCTTCTCCTGGACGATAGTGGAAGGTATTTCTCGTTAAATTCCCGTACAAAGTTTAACCAGGTCCACGCAGTTCCCTCTCTCTCCCATTTGGCCCTGATTACATTCCACCAGGCCCTGGCTGGACCTTCGAACAGGAAAACAGCGAATTGTACTTGTCTATCCTCTGTATAGTTTAAAGCGGCAAAGATGTTAATCATGGCCTCTAGCCATTTCTCGGCTCCTTCCGGGTCAGGTCCTCCCAAGAACTTAGGTGGAGAGAACTTCTGGAATCTCTCTAAGGCCCTATCTTGTCCCATATCGGGGTCCCTAAGTTGATTTACAGGGGTTTGACTCTGTTGTTCCACTAAACGGGCTAAAATGTTAGTCATTTGTTAGATTGCGGTTGCCACTTGATCTCCCTCTACAGCCTGGGGTTCAGGTTGTGGCTCAATCGTTGCCTCTCTCTCCTCTCTCGGTTCTTGCACCGGCTCCTGTGCTTGTCTATCCCCACGGCCACGACTAGGACCGCGTCCTTGGTTAGTTTCCCTGACTTGACTTCTTCTACCCTCCATATTTTGGATTTAACCAACTATAGACATATAAACAAAGTAAGGTATGGCTCGTATCGCACGTGTGCAAAAAGATAAATAGAGGCAATAAAACACATAATAAACAAGTACTTTATATACAAAGCAAACAAGTCACATATAAATGCCACCCTAGATAAGTCAAAGGCTATACTAGCCAAGGAACATAGAACAAAAGAAACCCTATTTACATCCACCGTGACACGTCAAAGTCAAAAATAAAAGAAAACGTGTTGTCCAACTATGTTCCTAACTATCCCATAAAAATCTCCTCAAACCCCTATCCTAACAAGTCATCTGGCTAGACGCCGACCCAACAGACTCTGAGGATGCACTTGGTTCCTCCTCCGGATCCTCCTCAGGAGTACCAGGAACGACAGGAGCTACAGGCGCTTGACCCTTCTCGGCCAAGTCCTGTATCACATCATCCACCAGTGCCTCGCACTCAGTCAGGATGTGGCCGGTCCGGTCTCTGATATCCCCAACTACTCGCATAAGGCGTCCAGTCGTTGCCTGAGTCTGCTCGCGGAAAGCATCAGTCCGCTGCTGCTCCTCCAGAATCGAGGCCTCCAACTCTCGGATCCTAGCTCCCTGGTCTCGGAGAGTAACCTGGAGACGCTCTATCTCAGAATAGCACCTACGATTGGTGCTACCCAATCGTCTCCGCTCGTCATCCACCGCAAGCACTACCCGGTCAGGGTAGGAGTAGGTCTTCCAGCAGTCGCAGCGTCGGATCTTGTGCGCTGGGGACCACCGCTTCACTAGCCCCCCGGGGCTCTCCTGATACGTGATCACGCGACAGACGGGCCCCTCCAGATGTGGCTCGTCAATAGGAGCGTCAGTAGGTACGGGCCGAGACGGCCCAGCACTCCCAGATGCATCAGTACCCACCATCACCTAGGTTTGCAAATAACATTGCAAAAGTAAGTACAGGAGACGTAGAAAATAAGGCTAAGGCTAAACTCAAGGATAAAACCCTAGCCTATCGTGTCAAGCTATCAATCTATCCGGATCAATTCACAACCTAGGCTCTGATACCACCTGTGACGACCCCACCTCCCCCTAAGGCATACCAAAGGGTTTGGCTGACCGCCTGTCCAACTCTCGCCAGGACTCACTCACTCGTATTACGTGCATACTTCCATAGACAATAAATAACATCGCAATTCAAACTAATAATTTACATTGATGTAAAATCAAGGTACAAGCCTCAATATACCCAAACTGGTTCAAAGTGTATACAATCCCAATACAAAACATTCTATTCGAGGAATAGCGCGAGTACAAGTCAAAAGTCAAAACAACTAGACTACGCTAGTCTTTACACGTCTCACGCCTCACTCGTACCCCTGTAAGGAAAACAAAACTAACGGAGTGAGCCAAAGCTCAGTGAAGTTTCAAATATCCAATTGGCCATCAAACAAAATACTAACAGTGTAATAGTGAAATAGCGAGCAAACAAGTCCAATCAAAGAAATAATACTTCAGGTAATCAAGAATATATGGATCATATTCACATGCAAGGATACAGTGGCTCATGTCTCTGCTCCATCCCAGCTTGATCGATTGGTAGTTGACACTCCGTCAACTTTCAAGTAATAACTAGTCCAGAAAGAAAACCCCACTTCACGCCAGTCTCCGTCTATCGTTCAACCCCCTTATCCGGGCCCGCACGCCACACGAAACACGGGTGGTAATACTCGACTATACCGATTGGTCGAGAAGATAACACTCCACTCGACATTACTAGTTACCCATGGTTCGTTATCTAATCGACCAGACCCTTGCCGGCTCGATTCGATTAACTAGCCACAGGATTTCTGGAATTCCAGACAAGATATAATTTATATGCATGTAGAGCAAGTCAAGTGAAATCGGTAAACAAGTACAATTCTTGCTAGGGCAAGTGCGATAAAGTACACCCTTACCCGAGCAATCATTTATATATCATGTAGTCACATTGGTCAAAGATAAATCACAAATACCAAGTTCAATCAGATATTTGAAAGCACTCACCAAAACAAGTATAGTGATTTTAATGATCTCGTCCAGGTGGTACTCCTGGTTTGGAGTCCAAATTTGCGATAAAACGTTGCTTAAGAATTTGGAAAATCAAGTAAGGTTCGAAACTTAGACGTTTCATTCAATAAGAATCAAGAAATTGAAATTCACTTGGAGAATAGGCGTGAAACAGTT